CTTCGATTGAAAATCTCCTGCAGCATCTCATGAATGAATACTGTTTTCCTCTTAATGGCATATAGTCTAATTTCGATAACTGATAAATGAAATGTATCATTCTTAAGGCAAAAACCCTTAAAATGAAAGCTGAAGAAATGGATACAGAAGGTGAGCACAGTACTGCCGAATGCATGCATTACTAAAAGCAAAATGCAAAAACTTTTCTATTATTTCATTGAATCACTATGAGCTCCTATATGTGGGCAGGGAGCCTGCTCTGACATGCTGGAAATGCAGCACGTTGGAGCAAACTATATGAACTGAGTCTGCCAGAGCCTGGACATCACCGCGCTCCAGCAGGCAGTAGAAAGACGGACACCCAGAGTTAGTCCAATGGTATTAATACCACAGGATTCATGTCAGCATCTTCTAAAGAAGGATATTTCAAGTTAGTGCCGTGGTCTTGTGTTTTAGAAAGGAGAATTGTGTAAAGAAAAATGGGGAAGATCCTAAAGTTAAAATTAAATAAATATATGTCCTTACTTTAATTTCAAACCATGCCATAATGGAGACATGGACCATGAGCACACTGCCACAGAGCCATACCTCTTAACAAAAAAAGGAAGCAGGAAGGCATGAAAGAAAAGTGTTATGATATTAAATAGCAAGTTTCAGGAGACCGTTTGCATCAACCCATTTAGAAAATGGAAACATGTCTCGGAATTTAGGACATTTACTTTCTTTGTAAAAAACTTCTAAAGGTACAATTTAGATTAAGGCTTTAAGCGAAGTCAGGACATTTCGCACGTAGCTCCAAAACAATGAGCTAGATAAGGAGATAGATTCTATCTTCTTCCTGAAACTGGCTAATGGGCAACCTTTACAAACATTCAAACTATTTCATTCAATATGACAGAGGTGACTGCACCCCTCAGGACCACAGTCAGGGCGGCCAGGATCTGGAACCAGCTGCCAAGGGAAGTGGTGCTGGCTCCTACCTAAGGGGTCTTACAAGGAGCCTGGATAACTACCCAGCTGGGTCATATGAGCTTCAACGTACCAGGGCTCGTATGAGCCCAGTATTCATTCCTGCCCAGGGCACAGGGTTGGACTCGATGATCTGCTCGGGTTGCTTCCCACCCTACATCTATGAAGCTATGAACCACCACTGCGGGGAGTTTATTCCAGGCTGGACACCCAATTAAACACAAAAAATACGTTTTTAAAATAGATTAAAACAGGAAACTTGTAAGAGAAACAGTGCATCGATGGGACTACTAAGGCATTAAGGGAGAAGAAGACCCCAAAGAAGACCCTTCAAGGCTATCATCCAACACAAAACACTTTAATAATCAGGTTTTGCTTATGTAAATGCACCAGAGTCAATGGACGGCAACCAATGAAACTGGAAGCAGAATTTAGGGGTCAGTTCAATTACCAAAAAAGCCAACAGAAAAACTGTTCTTGTTGGGTTGAGCCCTCAGCCCTTTTCCTCAGTGCTCAACCAGGGCCAAGTTAGCAGCAATATCATCTTCTCCTTCCCTAGAATAAAGAGGGGAAACGACAGCGTAGTAAGGCATCATTGTCGTCTGTGGGCCTCGGGGGATCTGTCTTTCTGCATTTCAATTACCAAAAAAGCCAACAGAAAAACTGTTCTTGTTGGGTTGAGCCCTCAGCCCTTTTCCTCAGTGCTCAACCAGGGCCAAGTTAGCAGCAATATCATCTTCTCCTTCCCTAGAATAAAGAGGGGAAACGACAGCGTAGTAAGGCATCATTGTCGTCTGTGGGCCTCGGGGGATCTGTCTTTCTGCATTAGCTCTCTCCGAATCCTGCGTGGAGTATATTCCCTTTTCTGGCCCTGCTCCAGAGCTCACTCCACCGCTATGCACAGAGACCTGGCTGTGCCATCTGCTTTCCAGTGCAGCTCCCTCTGTGCCATCTTCTTTCCAGTGCAGCTCCCTGCCCTTCCCCTCGCCATGAAAACAGAGTCGTTACACGGAGATGGCATTAATCGCATTTAACATCACGTGCTGCTGTCGACAGCGACAGGAGTGTTTGATCACACGCACTACTCATTTCCTTACCTCGCATTGTGAAGATCTGCTGAGCACTGCATTCTTCAAGTAACACCTGAATCTCTCAAATTAGGCAAGGCAAAAAGAGCGTATAACAGTGAGAATTGACATCTCTATTTGATTTACCTTCCTGTGTCTCCAAAGGATCCCATGGTTGTATCCTGGGATAACAGGCTATCCAGTTTTCTGTAGCTGTATGAAAGAAAGAAGGAAGAGCAAGTTGAAACCACAACCAGTAATTCCCAGTTACTTTATGCCTGGAGTGAGGGGCAGCATCATGGCCCGGGGGGCAGGGTACTGCAGTTTGGGGGTGAGGGGCACTGGCAGGGCTGGGGTCAGTGGGTTGGGAGTGAGGGGCAGCAGCAGGGCTGGCGGGGGCTGTGGCTTGGCACTGAGGGGCAACAGCATGGGCAGAGACAGGGCA